AAAGGGCAAACAAATCGTCCAAGAAAATAAAGAAAACGAGATAATGGAAGATGGGCAACTTGTACTTATAATAGCAAAGCCCAATCTCAGAAGAAATTAAAAGGCAAATGGGAACAGAAAAAGTTGCATGGGCAATATCTAAAAAGAGTAAATGTCGAAGATATGATTATTCATTATGAGATGATAACTGATTCAAAAATTGTAATAGAGCGAAATGAGAACAAGACAAAGACAGAAGAACCAAAAGGCAAATCAGGTTCTGCTGTAGACCTGAGTCAGCTCTTGACAAGGTTGTGAATTTCACTTCTCCTGTTCCTGGCTCCACTCCACAGATATCAGTCACTGGAGTCCAATACAAGAGATAACTCGTTTCCAGCGAATTAGATGGTCTCTAAAGACTTACAAGAATTGTTGTGATGTCATAGATTATAACAAGACAATTGCAGCATAACCGATATTCAGGCATTTATTCCTTAGGGATCGGGGGAGTAGCGAAACCTTTTTTTTTTTTTTTTTTTTTTTTTGATACCTCAGGAGAAATGCAAATTACGCACAACCCCTCCTTTTACAGAGGGAGTGTGGGGCTCGGTATGGGATTCTAAAGAAGACCTAACCGGGAAAGCCAGAACGTTACCGTTCTACACGATTACTTTGATGGGAGATTCGCCCTAGTCTCCGTTCCGCCGTCCCCTCGAAGACGAGAACGCATTTCCCAGGACGTTCGGCAAGTCTCTTTCGGGAGTATCCTCCGGTCCTTCGCTGGGGGGGAAAAGGGATAGGAAACTCGCCTGTTTCCTGAGGATGCGCCGTACTCTACGGTTTGATCAGGCGTTGATGGTTTCTTCTTCACCGCCGCTGCCGCCGTTGTTTCTTTTCCTCTTCCTTCTTCCCTGGAGTGCGCGACGTCGAACTCCAGTTTTTTCTCATTCGCGTTCGAGGTCCTCTTTCGTCCGTAGGACCGCTTCCGAAAATCGCGAGATCGCGGACCATTCCCGAGGTCCGCGGAGCAACCCGTTCACTAGCAAGCCGCGTATCGACAAGTCGGGTCCGATGACCTCGACCAGCCGCTGCCTATGGACGTCCCACGTGGGACATGTCGCAATTGTGTGTTCGACGTCGTCCTCGGCCGCACCGCAGAATCAACACTCCGCCGTCTCCGACTAACGAGTTTACGACTATGTGGGAGTTTAATGGGCGAAAATGGGTGTCGGGGGGGGCGAAAGTGGGAGTTTAGTGGGCGAAAGTGGGAGTGTAATGGGCGAATGTGGGAGGTTAGTGGGCGAAAGTGGGTGTCGAGGGGGCGAAAGTGGGTGTCGAGGGGGCGAAAGTGGGTGTTGAGTGGGCGAATGTGGGAGTCTAGTGGGCGAAAGTGGGAGTGTTAGTGGGCGAAAGTGGGTGTCTAGTGGGCGAATGTGGGTGTCGAGGGGGCGAATGTGGGAGTTTAATGGGCGAATGTGGGAGTTTAATGGGCGAAAGTGGGAGTTTAATGGGCGAAAGTGGGAGTTTAGGGGGCGAATGTGGGTGTCGAGGGGGCGAATGTGGGTGTCGAGGGGGCGAAAGTGGGAGTTTAGTGGGCGAAAGTGGGTGTCGAGGGGGCGAAAGTGGGTGTCGAGGGGGCGAATGTGGGAGTTTAGTGGGCGAAAGTGGGAGTTTAGTGGGCGAATGTGGGAGTTTAGTGGGCGAAAGTGGGTGTCGAGGGGGCGAATGTGGGAGTTTAGTGGGCGAAAGTGGGAGTTTAATGGGCGAATGTGGGAGTTTAGTGGGGCGAAAGTGGGAGTTTAGTGGGCGAAAGTGGGTGTCGAGGGGGCGAAAGTGGGAGTTAATGGGCGAAAGTGGGAGTTTAGTGGGCGAAAGTGGGAGTTTAATGGGCGAAAGTGGGAGTCTAGTGGGCGAATGTGGGTGTCGAGGGGGCGAAAGTGGGAGTTTAGTGGGCGAATGTGGGAGTTTATTGGGCGAAAGTGGGAGTTTAGTGGCGAAAGTGGGTGTCGAGGGGGCGAAAGTGGGAGGTTAGTGGCGATAAGTGGGAGTTTAGTGGGCGAAAGTGGGTGTCGAGGGGGCGAATGTGGGTGTCGAGGGGGCGAAAGTGGGAGTTTAGTGGGCGAAAGTGGGAGTTTAATGGGCGAAAGTGGGAGTTTAATGGGCGAAAGTGGGTGTCGAGGGGGCGAATGTGGGTGTCGAGGGGGCGAAAGTGGGAGTTTAGTGGTCGAATGTGGGAGTTTAGGTGGCGATAGTTGGTGTCGATGGGGCGATAAGGGGAGTTTAATGGGCGAAAGTGGGAGTTTAGGTGGCGATAGTTGGTGTCAAGTGGGACGATAAGTGGGAGTTTAATGGGCGAAAGTGGGAGTTTAGTGGGCGAAAGTGGGAGTTTAGTGGGCGAAAGTGGGAGTTTAGTGGGCGAATGTGGGAGTTGAATGTGCGATAAGGGGAGTTTAATGGGCGAAAGTGGGAGTTGAACGGGCGATAAGGGGAGTTTAATGGGCGAAAGTGGGAGTTTAGGCCGATACCGACTCGGCCTAAATCGGAGCTCCGTACAGGGCCATGGAGTGAACGACCGTCGCGTATAATCGCCTGACCCTGACCTGCGGTCTGCGCAGGTTCGGCATCAGGCGTCCTAACGTCGCGCTAACGGCTCGGATCTTCGATTCGAGGTGCGCCAGATGTTCCCCGTAGTGAAGGCCGGAATCGACAACTAAACCCAAGTATTTCAGCGAGCCACTCAGTCCGATTCTTACGTTGTTCACGGTAACGAGGACGCGGGTTTCGCGGACGATGAAACCCGCAAGCTTCCGTCTTCGGCAGAGACACCCGGAGACCGGTGTCCCGGATGGCCTCCACCGTCGCGTTAAGTCCCGTTTCGGCGCGTTCGCGAACCTCTGCCCACCCGCGACCGGTCGCGAGGAGCAGAGTGTCGTCGGCGTAGCAAGTCAACGATACGCCTTCGAAGAGAACGGTTCGGCTGAGGACGCGGTCGTAGGCGATGTTCCACAGGAGTGGTCCTAGGATTGATCCCTGAGGCACGCCGCAGAACACTCCGCCCTTCCCGTCGATCCGTCCAGTTTCTCGTACGCGATCTTCCTCTCCGAGAGGATGGACCCTATCACCGACACGAGATAATCTGGCACGGACTTCGACGTAAGCCCGTCCCTTATCGTGGACCAAGGTACCGTGTTGAACGCGTTTTTGATGTCGATGGAGACGACGATCGCGACGCCGCCCCGGTGAAGCGTGTCCCGGATACCGGCGCACACGCGGACGAGTGCGTCGGTCGTCGAACGGCCACCCGGAAGCCGTACTGATTCGGAGAGAGGTCGTTCCTCCCTCCCCCTGATCGTAAGTGTTCGTCGATCCGGGACGCTATCACGCGCTCAAACAACTTGCCCTCCACGTCGAGAAGACAAATCGGCCGGTATGCGCTCAGCGTCGTCGGATCCCTACCCGGTTTGTCCAGCAGTACCATGTTTGTTTCTTTCCACGGCGTCGGAAACGTCGCCTCTCGGAAACACGCGGTGTAGAGGGCACACAGCACCTCGGTAGACTTGCCGAGAGTGTGGTAATGCACGCCGTTCGGGTCCGGAGCCGAGCGTCTCTTCGAGGTCGCGTCGAGAAGAAGGCGAACCTCCCCCTCCGTCACTTCGGTGTCGCGGTCGCGGTTCGCGTCGTGCGAGAGATCCGGCGGGGGAAACGCGAACGGCTCGACGCGAGGGAAGAGCTCTGCGATCACTTCCGCGAGAAACTCCTCCGTCATGCCGGCCGTCAGCGGTCCCGACGAATCTCTCAGTTTGTTGGTCACGAGACCGAACGGGAGACCCCACGGATCCGAATCCGCTTCGCTCAAGAGTTCTTTCCAGCACGTCTCCTTAGAACTCCATATCGCTCGTCGGGCCCGGATCCGGGTAGCCCTCCACTCCGCCTTAAAACGCGCGAGCTCGTCGTTGTTCGCGATGTCCTCGTAGCGTCCTCCCTGTTTGATCAGTTGCCTTTTTTTGCCAACGAACCGGCAACGTGGGAGACAGGACTCCTTCCACAATTCTCCTATCTCGTCCGTCCACCAGTACTTCGGCCGTTTCCGAGTCGTCGAGCGCGAGCCGATTCTTTTCATGCAGGAGTCCGAGATCCGTCTTAAGTCGTCCCGAACTCTCCGCGCCATATCGTGTGCATTTCGCCTTGTCGGGCCGCGAGACACTTGGCGAGCCGTTCGTTGTCGAACGACCTCAGACTCCACCGGGGCGAGGACTCCTCCGGTGAGGAGACTGCCCCCCCCCCCCGAGCTCCGAGGATCCCCGAACGAGAACGCCACGTAGGCGTGATTGCTGAGGGACTCGAAGTTGGAAATGACCTCCCAGTCGGAGACCCGCGCCGCCGTCGAACCGGATGAAATCGTGAGATCGATCGTGGACCCGCCGG